TCTTTTCTTTTCTTTTCTTTTCTTTTCTTTTCTTTTCTTTTCTTTTCCTTTCCTTTCCTTTCCTTTCCTTTCCTTTCCTTTCCTTTCTTTTCTTTCTTAACGGTTTTCTTAAAAAATAAAATAAAGTTTGAATACATATAAAATATAACATCTGACATGTACTAGAAAATGACATCTTATTTGAAAACAAAGAGGCAGGGGCACCTGGGTGGCTCAGTTGTAAGCATCCGACTCTTGGTCATGATCTCACGGTTTGTGAGTTTGAGTCCCACATTGGGCTTCATGCTGACAGCACAGAGCCTGCTTGGGATTCCCTCTCCCTCTCTTTCTGCCCCTTCCCTGCTTGCTCTCTGTCTCTCTCTCTCAAAATAAACAAGCTTAAAAAATTTTTTTAAAGAAAAAAAGAGGCAGATGGACTGGAAACCATAATACCATGGATATGAAAACAATCCAAGTTCAGAGCTGGCTTCTTTTCACGAAGGACCTATCTAGTGGCATGAAGTAATTTCTGAAATTACCCATCAATCCTGGAAAAGAATTTTTTTTCAAATGATAATTAATTTCTATTTCAGGATCAGTTAACATTTGCTAATATTTTTACAAATTTGAATAGGGATAAAAATGCTCATAAATTTCGAACAAAGCCGCAGCCCTGTTTTCCTTGCCCAGCTTCGGAGGCTGTTTAAATATTTGCCACTGCCAGCCAAGAGCAGTTTTATTAGAAGTCCAGGGCAGTTAGTAAAGGCCCTGGCCTCTGTATCCATCTTTCAGTTACTGCTTCACACGTAGCCTTATGGGTCTAGACTGAGCAATCTGGTGGCGAGACTTTGGGGACTTGAGACAACACCTTTATTTTTATCCTGAGTAATATGTAATAATAACATAAGCTTTGCCAGGTATTTTTCTTCCAGCAAAGGAGTTTCTTCAACGGAGGAGAAAGCTCTGAATGGGGGTGGCCTTCTGGATTTTCCTATAAGTCCAGGAGAAATTATCAAGGTGCATTTTTTTTTTTTAAGAAGCAACTAGCATTAGTTAATCACTGGGTTTACACCAGGTTTCCTGACATCATCTTCTCAGTTTCTTTTTCCTGTTATATTATAACCTCTTTATCTTCCTTTTGATCCTAAAGTACAAATGTATTCTCCCACTTAACTTTAAAAATTTTGAAAAAAAAAAAAAAGCCACCAAATTCAATATTTCTTCTACCAAGCAAATTTCTTTGTAAAACTCAACACAGTAACATTAAATAGCTGAGGAACCCATACTTGGACTTTAAGAAAAGATAGTATTAAAAACAAATAGAAGTGGCATTAAAATTAATGAGGAATAGAAATGATGTTGACATAATGATATCTTTGTTTTCCTTTGACTTTTATTATATTAGCTCATAATGGCTTGTGACCCCCAAATAAGCTGCTAGTACTAAGAACTTTTCAGTGGCTCTAGGGAGAGAAGGTGGGAGAAGCCAGAGAGCAGAGATGTCACAGGGGCTCAGAGAAAGTATTGGAAGTACTGGTGAGAGAAATCTTATGAAGGGATTCCAGAAAAGTGAGATGCTCCCCCCCCCCCCAAAGGGGAGAAGGAGGAAAAATCTTTGTGAAATCAGTTACCAATTTTTCTGGCTGCCTCTAGTTGCTTGTAGGTGGCGAGACGGCCACCTTCATATTCACACACTGCCTTGGCTTCTGCGTAGGTGAGCTTGTATTTGCCAGACCTCGCTTCTCTGTGGTACACACCTGCTGCTTGTTCTGTGAATTCACAAAAGGCCATGAATACGCTATGATCCATTCTTGCGGAACAAAGGAAATTTTGTGGTCTCATCTAGAAGATTACATCAGCTATTTTTCCTGCCAAAGAGTTTCCTGGGTCAGTGGCCTTGGGTGGCTAAGTTTTCATTGTTAGAAAGCTTTGGGGAAAAAAGAAAATTTGAGGGGAATTTTAGGGAAATTCGAGGACAGAGACAGAAACTTGAGGCTAAATTATGTTTCTGAACTGATAGCCTGAAAGAAAGCTGCAATACAACATTGTATTTCCATACTAGCAAAAAGTGACAAAGTTTTGACTTTTTCGGGCTTTGTTTTAAATCAAATAAAAAATCAGGGGCGCCTGGGTGGCTCAGTCGGTTGAGCAGCCGACTTCAGCTCAGGTCATGATCTCGTGGTCTGTGGGTTCGAGCCCTGCGTCGGTCTCTGTGCTGACCGCTCAGAGCCTGGAGCCTATTTCAGATTCTGTGTCTCCCTCTCTCTGACCCTCCCCTGTTCACGTTCTGTCTCTCCCTGTCTCAAAAATAAATAAAACGTTAAAAAAATTAAATCAAATAAAAAATCAGAAAGGTAAACCATAAGGGGGAAAGGAGGTAAAAGCAAGAAAAAAAAAAAAAAAAGAAAGAAAGAAAGAAAAGAAAATTGATCCATTATGTAGGTTCACAATGATGGAGGAAAATAATCTAAAATATCTATGTGAGGGAAATGACTAATGCAATATAATTGAGACTTTAGTAAACAAATCAAAAACTGAGGAAAGGTTTGAAGGAATCCAAAGCAAATAAATATTGCATTAAGGAAAAAAAATATTCAAACACAGCAGAAAAAAAACTGGGCACACCAAACAACCAGTTGGTACATTCTTTTATCTGGTTTGTCTTTTTTAGTTCACATGTTGTTCCCAACATATTTTAGGGAGTAAGTCATAAATGAATTGTCTTCCAGTAGATCACTGTTTAAATTGTTTTGAGTTTGGAGTGCATTTTGCCATAGAAACAATGTGAAAATATTTCCAGGACAATAGTCATAACATTATCTCTAGTAGTTCTGTGTAGACTATCAGATTATGGTTAAGTCTTTGTACCCTGACCTGTACAATCAGCCACCATTAAGATCATTTCCAATGGGGACACTGTGTGGCTCAATCCGTTAAGCATCCGATTCTTGATTTAGGCTCAGGTCATGATCTCACCGTTTGTGAGACTGAGCCCAGCACCAGGCTCTGCACTGACAGTGGGAGCCTGTTTGGGATTCTCTCTCTCCCTCTCTCTCTCTGCCCCTCCCCCATGCATGCTTTCTCCCTCTCTCAAAAATAAATAAATACACTTTTAAAAATAAAGGATCATTTCTAATGAAAACACATGTTCCTCAGCATGCAGCAAGACTCAAATCCAGCAGTGTTAGAAATGTCATTGATTACTCTCTTCCCCAAGCTGAAGCTGACACTCCCATACTTTAATAGGAATAGCGGCTTGGCACTTGCCCTCTTTCCCCTGGACTGCAGGGGAATCCTGCTCTTACATATTATGTGGTAAAGTCCCATCACTTAGTCAATTCGATGCTCTTAGGGTAGTGAACACAAGAAATATCAAAGTTATCTTCCTGTTTGAAAGCCACCTGCTGCCCAAGTGTCTGTCCTTCATATGGTAAAGCCTCATAAACTAAACTTTCTCTAGTTTCCAGTTTGGTCATTTTAAGAATATACTGTGAGTTTTGCTAAACGGATCAACTCCTGTTCCCAAGCAACTTGGACACTAGTGGGCAATGGAAGCACCTTCATTTTGAGGTACAAAAGTACTAGGGCTTTTAGTAGAGAAGGGGGACATTTTGAACTTACTTTTGTATCCTAACAGAGATTATCAAAAATGTCAAAATTGTATCTATTCCCTGAGAATATAGACTATGAGATCTTTATTAGTATGAATTATTTTAATGCCTGCAAATGTTTCTCAAACTAAGATTTCCTTGGTATTTTACTCCCTAATCAAAAAATGATGTGTGTAGGAAAAAAAGTTAATGGACAGAGGTTTTTGAAAAATAATTTTAAGTTTTCCTCCCAGTAATATTTCCTAAATTTTTGGGACTGGAACTCATCTAATAATAAGATAGTAACTTGAATATGCTATCATTTTCAATTCATTAAATAATATTAATATCATACATGTTTCCTGAAAGAAACAAACTTCTGTTATTTTGCCTTATGAACAGGTTGAGAACTCTTGTTGTGATATTTGACAATTTTAAGCAGACATTTATTTGAAAGTATTCCTCAATTCAGCATTTTAAACTACTAAGATGGTCCTTTGTACAACGTGTCCTAATTTTATTGTTTTTATTTATTTTAATATATGTTTATTCATTTTTGAGAGAGAGAATGTGGGCGCACTAGCAGGGGAGGGGCACAAAGAGAGGGGGACAGAGGACCTGAAGAAGGCTCTATGTTGAGGGCAGTGAGCCTAATGACAAGGGGCTCGAAATCACAAACCATGAGATCATGACTTGAGCTAAATCAGATGCTCAACCAACTGAGCCACCCAGGCATCCCGAGTCCTAATTTTAACAGTTTTACTTTTCAGAAGAAATAATAATTTATTAATTTTTATCATCCATAGTCTTTCATTTAAACTGTATATCTATTTAACCAATACATTTTTTTTTGTTTGGTTACAAAGGGGCGACAGTAGCATGTTGGCTCTGGTTTCTCCTGTTGGTTCTTCAGTGGACACATGGTGTATTATTGCCCAAGCCTCAGTTTCCCCATCTATCAAATGGGAATAATGATAGCTATTTTTGGAATAAACAGACCATTAAAACCCACAAACATAACCTCTGGATCCTAGTAGGAGTTCATGATAATGTTACCTGTCCTTCTTCTTCTTCGCATTCAATACAGTGGCTGAAAAGCATTGCTTATTTGTGCAATTTTGATTTTCATAATCTATGTAAACTAGGTGATGTGTCTTATCCTTACTATTAAAAAATTACTATTTAAGGCATATTAATTACTATTTAAGGAACTGGAAGGTATCAGAGTTACAAATGAATCTTAGGGATTCCCTACTTTGATCTTCTCGTGTTACTAGCGTGGAACTGAGACCAAGAGTTTAAAATGCCTTGTTCGTGTTAGTTGCTAGCAGATTCCTGCCTTCCTACCCAACTCTCTTCCCTCTCTAAATAGTTTCTAATACCATATTGACCTAACCAACTGTAAACAATTTGTGTTAGGCTGACTGGTCAATAATTTGTCCCAGATTGAAGCAATTTGCAATTACCCCGAGCCTCAGATTTGCAGCATACTATTAACATTTGGGTGTGCTCCTCTCTACCTCTAGGACAGAACTTCTATTGTCTAGGTTCACATTTTTGTAATATACAGCATCACTTAAAAAAACAACAGCTCCAAATTACTGGATCATTAGAGAATTTGACAGCATTTCAAGATTTTTGCATATGGATTTAATTCTTGCTAGCTTTATGGCAGTTTTTTCCATTTCTAACAAAGGTGTGTATATTTCCTAAGTTTGATGATGTGCAAGGAAAATAAACAAAGAGACTTGTTCACTCCTTGAGAAAGTCCCAAACACCATCTTGGCCAAATGGATTGCACTGTTCAGCATTAAACTAGTTCACTGGCTTGAGCTGAAGAAAGAAGGGGCAAGGCTGTGCATTGCAAATTGAGCTTTTTAATGAAATCCGCATGGCTACAGTTATTACCAGAGAGAAACATGCTGAAAGGGAAAATATTCCATGTCCATGTGCTGCTTAGCAAGCCAAAAGACAAGATCTAGGTTAATTTTGCTTTCTCTTTATCTCTCTATTTTATACAAGAATTTGTCAATTTTCTTCTCAAGTAATTCAGAATTTTTTCACTATGAAATACAGTAATGAACATAAAGCCATATTAATTTGTCTCATGAGAAAGCATTGTTTAGAGTACTATACAGGGTATTTTGAGTTTTCTCTATCTGGCCTTTTTTTTTTGCACAGTTAGGCCCATACCTTTCCCTACATTTAACAAAACAAAACAACAAAAGAAACTTTCCTTGTCTGACAAAAGGGGTAGAAAAGTATTTATATGGATAGTTCAAACAAAAGAAATCAGAGTGGTGAGACTACATTCAGAAATACAAGCCTTTTTCTTTTTTTTTTTTTTTTTTTTTGTATTGCAAGCTGGCTTTGCATCCAACTAGTCAAAAGATGTTTGGAAATAGCAAGATATACCTTACAGGTCAGAGTACCTGGGCAAAAGCTTATAAAATTATTGTATATTCCAGTTTACCTGTTATGTTTCTGTTTTGATTACCTGTTGTGAAATCTGAATGCAAATGCATCGAAAAGAAAAACATGGTGTTTTTATTTTGCTAAACTTTCCCTACTATTACCGTCACATCTGCTTTGAAAATGTTAAAATATATTTTCATATGGAATATAAATATTACCCTCTATTTTTCTACTGAATAGCTCACTTTGTAAAAAGAAAACTATTTTTAATTTAGAAGGCAAGAACCCTTTTTTTTAAAAAAGAGGCATATGCATTCCAATAGCTGTTTTTCCTCAGCATTTTCTTTGAAAACATCAGCCTTGAACAGAACAAAAAAATTTACTGCGTTGATTCACTTCTGCATGAATTCAAAGTAACATCCCCAATAAGAAGCTCATGAGTGAAGTTTCTTACCAAGCCATATGGAGTTATGAAAAATTCCGTTCTTGAATCCCCATCCGTGAGCCTCTTCCCACAGCAAGACAAATAAGTAAATTAAGATGATCATATCTCAGTTGTAGAGAAGTTATAGCCTGTTTGGGGCTGCTCAGGATGAGTTCTCAGAGCAGAGGCTGAAATGTGACTGAAACATCTGGTTTCCACATCTTTTAAATGGTTTTTTTCAGCTGTGAGGTCAGCAAGTACTCTCCAATGGCGTTTTTTTGCTGTAGAGTTACACAATTAACTCAGTGTCTGGAGCAAATCCTCTGACTCATTTGCATTGGCAACCAAAACTAAGGATATAGAATGATGATCTACATTTTAAAATTCATTTACTCAGAAAGCAGTTCATTTTTTCTGCCTGTCACAGATGCTTTTCTATTAGGGAGTTTGTGTAACTTGTTGCAGATTCAGCAGTGATGAAAACAAAACCAAAAAACTTCAGTAGGAATTTTAAGAGAAACCTTGAATGTCTTAATTGCAATAAGTCAATTATGGAGTGTGGGGTTTGGGCTTAAACACTAACCTTGAACTTGACGATAGTAAGTTTACTCTAATCTTCTCTAAACATTGCCAAGCTTGTATAGAAAATTTAAAACAAAGGTGGGCATAGTTTGGTGAACCCTAAACTATCTCCAGTGATGTAGGATTTCTTTACCCTTTGTGTTTGTCCTGGGGTGGATCTGTTACCGTCCCTGGCTTATTGTGGTCAGCAGGTAAAGACATCAACTTCTGGAAAAGTAGCTCTGTTTCAGAGCTTTAGGACATTCTAGCAGCTTTGGGGCATCTTATTATAACACAAATTTCCCGAGGCCACAATGCCTTGAAGTTGTGGGAGGAAGGTGGGTAGGTAGAGAGTTAAAGTTAATAAAAATACGGCCCTAGCTGCCCCAAACCACTCTGTGAAGATGATCAAAATGATAGGTAATAATTATTAGTAGCAGAGTCACCATGCCTTAAAATAATCCAAGCTTTCCACTCCTTTTGTGTAGAGTCCATGGGTCTAGTAATATCCCCACTGCTCTGATACTAGGAGCATTTCCTGTTGATTGAGAGCCATTTTGGGGCAGCATTTGCCTCTCTTTCTTATACGTCATTCTTTGGTATTTAGTGTTTCTACTCTTGCTGCCACGTTGCTTTCCCTTTGCTTTCATATTCATTTTTCTCATGCTTTCTTAGGCCCTCCAGTGATACTGGAATCCTTAGAAAATGCCAATTTTCTAGACGCGCCTGGTCTGAAGTGAGCCTAGACTCCCTTAGGCATCTTTGCAATGAACACTGAAGGCATACTTTCATCTCATCTCTCCTCGAAAGAGCGGTTGTGGAGATGTAGGCTGAGGGTACAGAATTTACTGGATGCTCACTGAGTTATGCACAAAGTTATTAGGGTTCAAAATCTCTATTCTGGGCCTGCAGCAAATGAGAAATGATGGAATTGTGTCACAGCTCACTGTCAGGGTTAGAGAGTTTCAGTTTGGTGCAAAAGAGGATATAGTCTAGACCAGGTGGGTGTAACTGTGAAGACCACAGTCATGGGCAGAGAGAACAGGATGAATAACTAGTTGGAAGGAGCAAACCATGATATTGCTCTGGAAAGTAGAATTATATGAGTATTTTAAGTTTGTGGTTTAGGAAGTAAATATAACTTAACTTGTTCAAGGGTACAGCAATACCATCACAGCCTTCCCCATTCTTTGGTCATATTTCTTTGGCTGTGCCCTTTCTGCATTTCTTCGAAATACCCAATTTCTTCTGGTTCCCATTTATCAAACATTACTCTCAGGAAAGGGTTGGAAGTGAATCTTTACTTAGGTCAAGTAACTAACAACAGATACCCATCTTTGTTTATTTGCATTTTATTTTATTTTATTTTTTTATTTTTTATTTTTTAATTTTTCTTTAACGTTTATTTATTTTTGAGACAGAGCATGAACGGGGGAGGGTCAGAGAGAGGGAGACACAGAATCCGAAACAGGCTCCAGGCTCTGAGCTGTCAGCACAGAGCCCGACGCGGGGCTCGAACTCAGGGACCGTGAGATCACGACCTGAGCTGAAGTCGGCCGCTCAACCGACTGAGCCACCCACGCGCCCCTATTTGCATTTTAGTGAAGCTCCAAGTATGGAAAGGTGTGAATGTACACTTCGTTTTAACATAAAAATTTAATGATTGCTTTGAGGGATTAACCCAATCCAGGGTAGAGGATTTCTTTTCCTCTCTCACAACTTGATTGGGTGGGAATCAAGGGGAAGACAACTGGGAGATGAAGAGTAGCAAAGGGAGTATAGCCTATGAACTTACCTTGGTGCCTAAGGTAACGAGTCATCCCCTGCCCAACCCTTAGTGCATACTACCCAGGATGTTTCTGGGGAGCTGAGAGAAGATACACTTAGAAAAGTTCCTTTAAAGAGGTCCAAAGACTACCAGTCAAATTGCTCTACCTCCTTAGATGAATGCCATGCCACACCTCTCTGCCCCCAATCTCTTCATCAGTCCATCAAGGTGTGCAGTGTCTCCTTTTGAGCCTGTCAGTTACTGGCAGAAAATCCAGCAACACTTTTTTTTTTTTTTTTGTAGAGGCAGCCCCTGTTTTGGTTGCTTTTCCAAAATGTTCCAGTACCCATATACCTAAGCAGCTACTAGATACCCTAAAAACATAGTGGAGAGAACTCCACACCTGATTTGGGCTAAGACTGCACTAATCAAGCTTGAGATCTCCTAGGCCAGCACAGTAGTTTAGTGATGTCACTATTACACAAATTTAAAAAAAAAAAAAGACTCTAAAGTAGAATTTCAAATATCTGTTGGAGGATGAGAAGAGGCGTATTAAAATTTTTTTGATATACTCAGTCTCGGCCGAGAGGAAAAAGTATGGAGAAATGTCAGGTGGATATGTAGAGAGGGGAGAAAAGGAAAGGAGGGAAGAAAAACAAATTCTAAGACATCGCATACATATCTGATTATACTTTAAAAAGACTGGATTTGAATAGCAAGGATTTGTAGGAAAATTCTATTCTTTGGCCACAGTATGAAAACTAAAACATAAATTATATCATTTATTGATTATATTTTGCAATCTTGGAAAGAGAAGGAAAAAGCAAGAGGAAAAGAAAAGGGTGGAGTTCAGTGAATTACAAAATATGTCAGTAGAAGACATCTTTAAGAACACTTCCAGTAAGACCACGAAATTATATTACAGGAATGCGTCATCCACCCTAAGATCTCCATATGGACTTGTATGGAAATAAAGTCAATAATGGAAATTGAGGTCATTCCCTTCAGCCTGATTTAAAACAATTGGAGAGAAATTCTGATGCATGCCGTAGAACAAAGTTAAAGAAATAAAATACGTGACATTCTACTCATTCATTCAATAAATGCTTTCAAATCTTTAGGTGGAATGCTGCTAACTTTTACAGGGCCAGTGAGCAGGTTGGGGCCAATGTAGAACAATGGGAAATATATAGAAAAGTGAAAGATTTAATTGTTTTATATCAAAAAGCTTTTAGGAAGTGAATGTGACACTGAAACTGACACTGGATTTCCCATAGGTATATGGTGTGATAGTCATTAGTAATGCCCACTAAGTATTTCTGCTTCTCCACCTTCTGGCAGCATGTAGTATTAAATTCTATGGTTTTCTGGTGTTTGGTGGGATCATGTGATTGTTTCTGGCCAATAAGATGTGAGCAGAAATTATTTATTATCTCAGAGTCAAGCATTTGATTGCTGATGTTCCAGAACTCTTTCCCTCTGGCACGGAGAAAAATATTTGAGATGGTGGCTGCTCTATCACCTGGATTCCTGATTGATTCCTGATGTTATGTAGCATGAACAAAATATAAACTGTTATTGTTTTAAGTCACTGAGATTTTGAGGTTGTTCATTACTGTTAGCATAACTTGATCTTTCCTGATTTATAGGAAGAAGTGATCTCATATGGGTATTAAAGCAAAGGATGACTTCAGAAGGTTGGGGGCTAAGGACATTCAGATGCAAAAGTTAAGACAAGAAGGAGAAAGAGGAAGAAGAAAAGAACAAGGAGATGGAGGTAATGATTAATGTACTTAATATCTTCCTTCTCTCCCCATCCCACCTCCTTACAAAACACAGTTCCCCAAACCTGCCTCTGATCTGCCTTCTGAGGTTATTTACTGGAACTCCCCCATATGCATTTATTCCAATCAAACTGTTCCCTACACCTCTGGTAAGTCTTGAAGCTCTGCCTCCTTGTCCCTACCTCTTTCTCTCCCCTGACTTTTAGTGAAACAATTACAGAACTCAGTGTTGGAAACTTCGAGATCACCTGGTTTGAATTTTACCTGTGTTGTGAATCCCTGCTGTGCTGCCCTTCTGTTGACCTGAAAACTTTCAGTTAAGCTTTGACTCATTTTTGCTATTGAGGCCCATAGAATAAGCCTTAACTACACCAGCTTTCAGGAAAAAGGACCGTGATCTATAAAGCTGGAACAAAGAAACAAGCACACATATTTGAAAACAACTTTAAAATATGCTCACTTAAAATTTGCTTTTTAAATATTTTTTTCAAGTAGGTTCAAAAATATTAAGTTCAGAGTGATCCTATCTTGATAAAGGAGGGATATGTTATAAATATATATGAAAAGAAAGTCCAGAAAGATGTACATACTAATGCCAAATATCTGCATGATGAAGTTATGGGTACTTCCTAACTTCTTTTTGTTTTTTGTTTTGTATTTTATACATTTTTTCCCAATACATATGTATTATTTGTGAAATGAATGAAAAAAGTTATGACTCATATACATATATTCAAAGGCATTAATTTGATTGAGAAGACAAAGAGACTGTTAAAGAATACCTACTAAATCATAACTAGAACAGAATATTAAGGTTTTATAAATACCTAAGAAAACTGAGTATTGTGTATTTTACCAGGTAAATGGGACATAGTATTAATAATCTTTCCAAGGAAAATGAGATTAGTCATAATGTGATCAAAGTCAAAGCCAAACCATAGTTCATAAATTTATGCTGAGGTTGCCTGGCATACATGGTTGCTTTTGGATAACTCTCCAGGGCACTTGCTGTATATGACAAATCTTGACCTTAACCTCCACATAAATATTTAATTCTTCACAAATGTTTACAGAGGATATACTTTATGTTA